AATGGAAAAAATGAGAAAAGGGCAGTTTAAACAAAGTAGAACCAGAGCAAGCTAGTCATATGTTCTCTACGATTGGTTAGTCAATTTTCGGCTAATTCAAGACCAGTTTGAACTGCAAGTTTACGCCTCTGCGGTCCAGATCAAAAACATGACCCACTCCATCCTTTATGAAAAAGGACACTATAAAGCAATCAACGCCCCTTTTTTAAAATTTGCCGATGATGGCTGTGGTATGCTGGATCTCTCACAGCTTGAAGCCGAATTCCCAACATTCAGCAGGAGAGTGACGTCACTTGCCGATACATTATACCCACTATAACGACGGTCAAGATGAGAAAAAAAGAATTACTTGCCAAAATTCTATCGTTTGCAAATGTGAAAGACTTATTTTCTTCAGCTTCTGGAAAAAAAGTCGCTATCAAGAAAAAAAGATTTCCCTTCGTTGGATTATTTAAACAGTAGCACAAGGTCCTAATGTACCCACTACTCCTTCCGAAAAATGCAATTTTTCTTGGAGTCTGGCGTCATTCCAAGTGCATTAGTCCTTTCCTACTTAGCAATTTTATCTTCTAAAACTAGTGTCTTCACCTCTTAGGTCCAGCAAAAGTTGCTTTCACTGCATATTTTTATACATTTTTTGCGATGCAGCGCTAGAGCGCTACAGCAGTCAGCAAAAACTCATATTGTAACAACCCCGTCTGTGTGTGTGTACGGGTGCGTTTTTGCGTGTTGGTCTATCCGGATATTTTAACTCGACAACCAAACAAGCTTAGATGCTATAATTTTGTTAATGGGTTCCCTGGCCAAGCGCGACTCTAGGAACCTGATATAATATTTTACGTACATCTACGTTTCAAATACAGACATATGGAGTTTTTGGTGAGAGAATTGCTAATTCGGGAATCAGAACAGTGAGTTCATTTTCAATAAATAACCACCAGTCACTAGAAATTATTCATTTTCTTTGATGCAATATTTCTGACAAGTTACAGTAATGAATGTGCAGATTGAGTGTAAAGCAACACACATTCATACAGTTAGCAATTTGACTGCTTCAAGTTTAGCACAAAAACACATAATTGCACCGGCAACCCCAATGCGTCACAATCTAGGTTTAGTGGCATAACAGATTTTCATAATGCCTAATTGGAACTGAAAAAATCCAAGTACGTTTTAAACATCTTTTGCTACTGAATTGCTAAAAAAACATACGCACACGGAGTTCTTTTAGAAATTTCTAGGACTGTTCCCCG